AGTAAGTATAACATTGTCAAATGTTAGGATTTAATTTGTTAACGAATCTTATTCAATGTATGTAATGTATTGTGTGGGGCTATGCATAATTATGTACTATGGACCAAAGACTTGAGAACAAGTTTGATAGGTTAGTTTAGGCCATTCAGACAGACAATCGTATTGTTCAAAACTCTAGTGCCTTATAACTTGTGGTTTCAAAAGACTGAACTTTTGCTGTGATATTTTAAACCTGTTGTTGAAGTAAATAATTGTTATATGAACAGTCATCGAATGATGTGAACTCTTAAGATTCAAACATTCCTTTAGTTAGCTTACACGAAACAGATACTAAAACGTGTCATCAAGTGAACTGTTAAAAGTTAGGTAAGGTTGGTACCAAGTACCCGTATTGACATTTGGTGTTAACTACTTAGTGAAGATAAACTTTCATAGCCTTGTTATAATTGTGAAATATTAACTTGCCAAAGACAGAGTGTATGACTGCTATGTATCATTGTGGTATAAGACTGTTACTATTCATGAGGCCCTTTTCTAGGGATATGTGCGGGGCATGCTGGCTCGTGAGATGTCCTTGTCTGCTGGATGAGACCTGGTCACCTACCCAAGACTAGGCCTGCCTATCTTCTAGCCCTACTAGTCGAATCGCACTGGAATCCTGTTTATCTCGCCAAATACCGTGTTGTGAAAGGACCTGATACGCCTTACCGCTAAGTAGACCAATTAAGTTATCCTAAACTCCACTTTAAATTCTTTTTGTACAAATTGATCTCTTAACTATGACCGGTATCTAACTTGTATTTCTTTTCTGTTCATTGCTATTTGTCTTAATTTATTTATAGACAGAGTTATTCAACTTAAGTTAAGGTGGCCACCAACATTTACCTATGTTTTAAACTCATCTTTGATTGAGCGTTGAGTTATTGTTATACCATAATTATGATATGAAATCTGTTCGACTATCGTTAACTTTTGTGTCAATATCTTGCTTTGGAGATTTTTACTCCTCTTAAATCTTAATTTTCTTATTAAACTATTGTAATTCAAATTTAATTGTTGTGTTTTCACTATATTAATATTTCCTACTGTGTTTAAAATCAAACTTTAGTCACTCCCTTACAAATTAATCTTACTCCTCACGCTCATGCAAAACTATTAGCGATATTAACTCATTAAAGTGTCTAGGTATAAGTAAATGAGTAAGTGAGTGAAAATGAAAAATGGATGATCCTGAAAAAAGTTATGGCTGTTCAAAGTTATGATATGCTGCATGTTAAATGAGCCTTATTCTAAGTTTTAATTTATTTTTACATGTTTCATGTATTACACGTCCAACTCTGAAAATTGTTAACGGGTTTAAAGAAGTAAATCCTTCCTCTTTTAAAATATCTGTAATACATGGAACATGAAAAAATAAATTAAACTTAGAATAAGGCTAATTTACCATGCAGCATATCATAACTTTGAACAGCCATAACTTTTTTCAGGATCATCCATTTTTCATTTTTAGTATGTCGTTGAGTTTGCCTCATCAAGACCTTTAAAATGATATGCATAACAACCCATGCTTACATTTAGGATTTTTCACAAGCTCCTGACCCCCCAGGAGGAAAAAAATCAGCCATATTCTAAAAAAAAATACATTGCCAATGAACCCATCTGACTACAATGAAGGAATAAATATTCTTAAACACGTTGCTGTCGCTAATGGTTACCAGAGCATTCTAATTGATAAAATGATTCTAAAACATAAACAAAAAACCTCCAAAATTAAAGATAAGAAAACATACATTTCAACGGAATTTTGTGCATCTCTTAGCACTAAATTTAAAAACATCATGGCCAAAAACAACGTCACTGTGTCCTTCAAAACCGTTAACAAACTTGAATCTTTGTTGAAAGAGCAGCCTCAAACGACAACTCCTGTTTTTGACAAGACTGGCGTCCATAAGATCAGTTGCGACGACTGCCCTAAATATTATATTGGCCAGACAGCTCGTTTTTTCAAGAAAAGATTTAAAGAACATCTCCCAAAGAAGACAACATCCGCTCAAACATCAACCTTTGCCGAACACTTAGTTTCCGATAATAGCAACTACACAAATATTGACAGCAACATGTCCGTACTGCATATATCTAACGACCATTTTAACAAAAATACTAGTGATGGTCGGATCCGGATATCGGACTACTGGATCCGCCAGATCCGAGCTGGAACCGGCACCCGATCGGATCCAAAAAATTCCGGATCTTGGGCTGGATCTGGTTTTGATGGATCCGTTTTTTCCCCGAACTTAAAGCTGTCTGTATCCATGTACAAAACCGATTTTTCCCGATTTCTTTACTAACACAAAGCTATCTGTATCCATGTACAAAACCGATTTTTCCCGATTTCTTTACTGACACAAAGCTATCTGTATCCATGTACAAGACAGATTTTTTCCCGATTTCTTTACTAACGTAAAGCTGTCTGTATCCAAGTACGCTCATCCGGACTAATGTGGCGGACGTCCGGTCCGGATTGCGAAAAATCCGGACAATCGAGAGTCGAACAAATACACAATACTGTATACAGCAGTTTTTTTTCAATTTTGTTCCAGGTCCACAGTAATGATAGAAGTGTTATCCGGTTAATCGGTCTTGTACATAGACAGCTTTGTACATAGACGTAGACAGCTTTGTGTTAATAAAAAAATCGGGAAAACATCGGTCTTGTATGCCTGGATCACCCCTTGTTTATCTCTCTTTGTTATTCGTTCCAAGTCCACAGTACTGATAGCCATGTAGGGTATGTGAAACTCTACAAGTAAAATACCCTGTGTCTGTGTACATGAAGATTATCTGTGTCCATACAGGGTGAATAAAAAAGTCAAGACTCCTCCATCTAATAAATATTTTTCTATGTTAGAACACAGTACATTCTTCTTGTACACAGACACGGGGTATTTTACCTGTAGAACTTCACATACCCGTCTATTAGTACTGTGGACCTGGAACGAATTTAAGGAAGAGATTAACAAGAGGTGATTCAGGCATAAATAAATTGGATTCTGCATGTAAAAACCACGATATAGTATACTCAACTATAGTAAACTTAGGACAAAGTTTCATTTTATGATTTTGAAAAGTTTTAGTGTCCCCAAAAAATGTGGGATTATGGGCTCAACTGGAGATTACTCTATATAAGATGTATTAATCTTTAAACATTACCAATTTAATTTTAAACAGTATGATTTAAATTGGCATTCTGTTAATTACGTTTTTTTTAACCCGCCCTTATGACAGTGTGTATCTGGATCCGGATCCGGTACCGATATTTTCTTGGATCCGCCCATCACTAAAAAATACACTTGAAGAATTTCAAATATACCTAGCTGTGAAATTTGACAAACATAATATTTTAAATGACAAACTATCCTTCCAATCTAATTATATTTATGACACGGCCATTAAGGTACTTGAGAGAGAGTCGGGGATGAATGGGGACAGCTGACTGATAACAAGAACAAAGGAATGACGTCACAGCGCCACCACCACGTTGATGACCACGTTGACCGGCAGTCTAGACGCTACATCCATCCGGTCGTGACGCATCATCCTCACCGGTGTTACCATTTTTAGCTTTCACTCGTTAAATTGTACTCTTTGTTTCAATGTTCGTGTTTGTATTCGTGTTCGTATCCATGACCATGTTCGTGTATGAACGTATAGCGTGTGTATTGACGACCTTCTGATGAAGTGATTTGACATCCCCTGGACGCCCGAAGATGACTTCTTGAGAAGTTGAAACTAGTCGCGTCATAGCAGCAACATTTTGGATTACAAAAAACAGGTGTTTAAACCAATTTTTATAAAAATACCCCCGCCGCAGCAAACCTGCCGACTAAGCGAATTTCCATTTGTCTGAATTGATTTTCAGTTAAATATATTTTAATAACATTAGGTTTAACGAGTACCTAGGTTTGCTGCTACAAGGAAACTAATAAAGTGTGTTTTTGAGTAAAATATTGATAGCTTAGTACAAAATAAATAAATTTGCCAAGTTTGATCAAAATATATCCATAAACAAGCAAACTACAACATTTGACAATATTCTCCATAAGAATAACATGGGAATTTTAAATTTGCAATTTTTTTAATTTTCTCCGTTACTAATAATCAAACAAAAATTCTTTTATATACTAAATTATTTGTTTTTTTAAGCTCTTTAAAAAGGTCTAAAGAGAAATCAGGAAATTTTGTGTTTTGAGGGTCAAAAGTGAGAAAAACCAATTTTTACCCCATAAAACCCCCCGTAAAGCCCCGTTCCCATGGTCCGATCGTGCTGGTTCGCGAACTCATTCAAGTTTATCCCGCTTTACACCTTTAAACCAAATTTCATCAAAATCGGACAAAAATTACTCAAGTAATCGCGTTCACGGACGTATATATATATAAGTCTATATATATATATATTTATATATACATATATAAAAATTTTAAAGAATGGTGTTTTTGGCCTCTGGGGACATCAAAATGAAAAAGTAAATCGGTCCCGGGTCTAGGTCTTACCGTGCCACCTACGGTAATAGCTACTTCCCTATAGGGAAATTCGCTAAAATAGTTTTTTATACCCATAAACAATTTGCAAAGTTTAAATTGTGTAAGTGAAACCTGGAAAAAGATATTGGGTTGATCCGTGACTTTTTGCCACCCCTGTATAAACATGCATGTACACACTTTAACATTAAGGATAGAAGTGAAAAGAAGAAAGAGATCGAATTGTTTTAGCCAATGAGAAAGAAGCTAGTTTTAGATGAAATCAACTATTTGCAAAATAAAGTGAGTGTAGTCTACTCTCAGTTCAAACTTTATTTTAAACTATAACAATAAAAATCAAAAACATTTAGTTTGTAAGTTAAATTTTAGCATTATTTCTTGTAATATTCACCCTGCCAAATTCGTTAGTGTCCTGTTATTGAATTTGAGAAAACCATAAATAAAATTATAAAATAACTTACTTCAGAACCTCTTTTACGTCGTCTTCATAGCCAAACGAAAACATAAGATCAGCCTCGTCTATAACTAGCATTTCCAGGGAGTTTGTAATAGAAAGGGACTTGGTGTTGAGATGCAGCAGAGCTCGAGCTGGAGTAGCAATCACAACATCTGGTCTCTCTACCAGGAGTGGCTTCTGAGCTACTACTTCTACCTGTAAACATAAGAACAGCCTCGTCTATAACTAGCATTTCCAGGGAATTTGTAATAGAAAGGGACTTCGCGTTGAGATGCAGCAGAGCTCGAGCTGGAGTAGCAATCACAACATCTGGTCTCTCTACCAGGAGTGGCTTCTGAGCTACTACTTCTACCTCTAAACATAAGAACAGCCTCGTCTGTAACTGTCATTTCCAGGGAATTTGTAATAGAAAGGGACTTCGCGTTGAGATGCATAAGAGCTCGAGCTAGAGTAGTAATCACAACATCTGGTCTCTCTACCAGGAGTGACGTCTGAGCTACGGGAGTGTTGCACGACGTCCAAGTGCCACGACGTCCTAATATTTTTCCAGTGCCACGACGTCCAAAACATAATTTTTGAGTTGTTGCACGACGTCCAAGTGCCACGACATCCAAAAGTACAGTAACTGCCAAAAATATAGTCTTTCTACAAGCTTTGGACGTCGTGGCACTTGGACGTCGTGGCACTTGGACGTCGTGAAACAGCGCACTGTAGAATTGTAAAGAAGTATCATTTGCACCACGTCCAAAGCCTCTGCCAGTTGCACGACGTCCAAGTGCCACGACGTCCAATAAATATTTGACTGTTGCACGACGTCCAAGTGCCACGACGTCCAAAGTGCCTGCACACTGTGAACACTACTCGTCGACCTCAGTGCATACAGTTCGCATTGCAATTATTGAAGGCAACTATTGTTAGTAACTAGGCCTAGTCAACTGTTTGAAAGTTGTCAACCGCTTCGTCTTCGATTAATGTTTAAATTATTCAATATTCAATGATTCTAATTGAACTAATTATTGGATTAGCTTAAATTTTTTTATTTATATGTAAAATAAATACTATGTCACCGTAAAATGTAATGATGCAGTATTTCTGTTGTTATGATTGCATAATTGATTTCTACAAAATAGAGCTATGTCATAGAAACGAAATAAATAAATGACTACATTATTCACTATATTGTATGATTAATACAATAAATTAATCACTAGCCCAAAAGTAAATATGGTAGGTTTAATGTGAGTAGTGGTAGAATTCTAAGTACTGCAGTAGAATAGAATTGTCATACTATATCAATTGGTAGCAAATTAACTCGTAAGATAAAAGGTATGCACAGTTTTATAACAGCTGTAAGACTTCCCATTTAAGTACCGGTATCATTGAAATTGTATAACTTCCATTGAACAGAAATGAGGTAAGTAGATATTGATACACAGATATATGAATTTTCCATACACTTATAATATGACGAATTCAAAAAAGGTTTATCCGTCAAATGTGCTAAATATTATGTAAACCATCACTTATCAACTTTTTAAGCTATAATGGTGGTACTACAATGGTTAAAAATGTTTCCTGTGAAACATGTATTTTTTAAACTAAAAGGTTTTCTTTTAGTACTACAAACCTTGCTCTATTAGTGCATACGAAAAATAATTTCACTATTTTACGAGATCAATGTTTAACAACAAATGGTTGAAGCAGATATTCAGAGATTGTCTCCAGCTGATGCGGTAATAAAAACATATTTTAGCCATAGCACAGACAATATATAATACTATAATAGTAATCTATCTATCTATCTATACTATTATAAAGAAGAGGTGGTGTCTCTGTGTGTGTGTGTGTGTGTGTGTGTGTGTGTGTGTGTGTGTGTCTGTGTGTTTGTATGAGATAATCTCAAAAAGTACTGAACCGACTGGGCTCAAATTGCACGCAAATGAAGCTACAGCTCTGAGGACACATATTATACAACTATTCCCTCTTCGTTATTGTCCTAGGGCTCTGCCCCGTGGGCTTTCAAAAATTTGAGGTGAGAGATTTTAAAATATTGATTGATGGTCTTCTGTCTTGTATCCATGGTAACAAGAGCAAACCTACATAATTTAAAAATGTAAACAACCAGAACTAACTGTCAAATGAATTTTGATTTCACAATTCCACACAGCTGGTTCAAACATCCTTATATATAATACGTGAAGGTGATTTCTACAAAACACTACTCCTCCGTTAATAATGGACGGATTTTTACAAACAAGGTGTCAAAATAAAGTATTTTTTGTGTAGACGCCCCCTTTCACCAATTCCTGTAATAAAAATCCTCGGGCTTTGCCCCACAGGCCATCAAAGTTGGATTTTCTCCCATAAGGACATGGAGGAATTGAAATATTTAATTGGAAACTTTGTCCCCACTAATTTGAGAGATCGGCTGGGCGTAGGAACTTGGTAGGGGTGTCCAAAGAAAGGTCTTGGACTGTAGATGAGTTATAAAAAGAAAAACTAAGCAAAATCACTTAGGGCTCTGCCCCAGAAGCCTTTAAAGATCCCTCCACAGAGTTGTTTACATTTTGGCCATGTGAATAATACTTTTTAATAAAACAGCTGTTCCTTTTTAAATTGTATCTCAAACAACACAAATATTTATTGGGAGTTACTGAATTCTACCAAATAAGTATTTGCAATGTTATTTTCTGATTTTAAAATTGATTTTCCTCTTTATCATGTCATGTCATGTTTTGCATTATAACGATCCATTACGAAATCAGTGGAAAATCCTTATTTCACAGCAATTCTTAAATTGTTTCTTATTGAACTATCTTATATATACTGTACGGGTTGGTGTCTGCCTTTTTCACCACTTATGCCTACATTTTATCATATTATTATTCTACACATATCAAATATTTATGTACAAATATCTGCTCTTATAGTGTCTAATAACATCAAAACATAGACACCTTGCCTAAAATGGTACCCATCTTGACAAATTATTTGCACCTGCCAGCTGCCTATATTAAGGACTTTGGCGCACTGGGTTGGTAACATTATTGAAAATAACACTACATTTGGGCTGTAAAATATGGTACAAAGAGAAAATACGATTTAAGCAGCTACTGTCATGACAGAAAGGTCATATTCCTTTTAAACTAGATCACATAATCCTTTATAAGATACGTTGATTAACATTATGTAAACGTCAATATATACGTAACAGCCAATTTACAGTATTTTTGCTTTTATTTGCATTATTGGTTGCCAATGAAGCCGCCAACTTCACTTCAAGTATTCCACTACACCTAACATTCCGTAGAGAGATTATTTTGACAACTTTATGTTATTGATAAGGCTGAGACCCATGTCAAGGAATTCCAGCTTTAACAGTAACCCCACAGTCAATTTCTCAAAACTGCTAGAGGGTTCATTCATTGGCACAGAAGTACGATATGAACTGACGCCACGTGACGAAGGAAAAATCAATTTTACACTGTAACGGATATACCTCCCTTTGAAGTTAGAATATGTCTTTCCAAAAAATATTTTCTTTTCAAATAAAATCATATTACACTGATGAAATCACAGAAGTGTTTAACTACAAAAGACCCACCAATACGATTTTAATACTATTTAAATGTTCTTCCAAAGGATAAGGAAGAGATGTCATATAACATACTAATATTAACTCCGATGACGTACGGTATGGGAAATATTTTAATCATTGAATGATCAACCAGAATCGGAAACTAACGCAATTAATATCATTATTGTTTTTACACTTATTACTCTTTAAAGAATGCTAAATGCTTAAAATATGTATATTTCACCAAAATTAACGCAGTTAGACGAATTAACATAAGCCTTGAAAGTATTCGTCGATTTCGACGAGTTTCCCCTAGTATTAAATAATGCACGAATGTTAGAACAGAGGGTAAGGATTATAAATTTAAAATAATGATGTTACTACCCCGAATGTAAACATTATTTTACATTACTTAAATGTAGCTGTCAAACCATATGTTAATGTAATTTCATTAGTATATGATTCTTTCAGTTACTTCATTTGTTTATGTTTATGATCTACTAGCGGGCTTTGCCCCGTTTAACTTCACAAGTGAGCTCGTTCGCATGGCTCAATCATGTCCTGGTTGAAGTACGTTCGCTACGCTCACTCATCTTTAGGTTGGAGCTCGTTCGCTCCGCTCACTTGCCTTCAGGTTAGCTTGTTTGCTGCGCTAACTCGCTTCCAGGTTGAAGTTCATTCGCTACGCTCAATCACCTTTTGGTTGCAAATTAAATGAATGATTAAATGCATTTATTTATTTCAATTGAGAACAAACTTATTACATGCATTTTGGCTGTAGTCATAAATTTAAAAAAATAATAGTGCTGCACCCTGTTGGTAATCCTTGTTACTTTAGTGCTATTGAACATCATAGAACAGAACCAACTTGTTTAATTGAAACAGCTGTTAAGAAATTCCTTTTGAATATGAAAAATCATAAGGTTAACGTGGGAAACTCCAGAGCCACTGGGGTGGAGCCCGAAAGCCCGATCAGAATAAAAACTACTTAGTTTTCCTATTTAATGCCCAAAGAATCGGTGTACCAAATTTCAGCCTCCTAGGTAAATGGGAAGTGGAAGAATTAGTGATGAGTGAGTGAGTGAGTGAGTCAGTCAGTGAGGGCGTTGCCTTTTATATATTTAGATTATACTGAGTCTGTTCTATTTTTGTGAAATGCTGTAATAATATTTTACTGGGAATAATTCGTTTTAAAAGAAATCATTCATCATGGATATAGGAAATAATAAAGATTCTATAATCATTGCCCTATCAACCTAGGCCCTTTTCCTGAGTGTTATGAGGTTTATGTTTTGATTTATTTTTGTGTGAACCGTAATATAATCCCCCTGCCACAGCAAATCTGTAGACTGAATTTCCATTTGCCTGATTATATAATTTCACTAAAATATGTCAGAAAATTACCCTATTTTCCATATTTATTTATATTTTCCTATTTTTTCTATTTGTCGGTTTGGAACTATTGTGATAGCTTTTTGTTTACAGTGCAAACCATGGATGTTTGGATGTATGGATGGATGGATGGATGTTTGTGACAAGCAAACGCGAAAAATACTAAACCGACAAGGTTGAAATTTGGTATGATGATAGATGGCATCCCCGATTAACATATTCTTAC